CCCTATACTAGTAGGTCCTTCATGGGAGGTATAGTCTACGGATCCGTTAGGCTCAGCTTCTTCAGGAAGGACCAGAACGGAGTTGTCAGGATGACTCTGGCCTGAGACACCTGTATGTTCTGTACCACTCTTGGTAGTAGTCTGAATGGTGGAAAAGCGTAAAAGGAGGTCTTCCTCCCATGACTGGGCCAGTGCATCTTTGAGGGTCTCTTTGAAGGCAGAAGTACTTCCCTAGTTTTACATTCCTTCTATTGGCAAAGAGATCTATGGAGGGAGTGCCCAATTTGCTGCAGATCTGGGCGAACACTGTGCGGCTGAGGCACCATTCTGACTGGTTGATTTCCTCTTGGCTCAGCTGGTGCGCCAACAGGTTTAGGTCTCCCTTCAGATGGACCGCCATGATTCATTTTAGCTTTCCTTCTGCCCAGCTCAGGAGGGTTTCTGTTAATTCCATTAGTTTTGAGGACCTTGTACCCCCTTGCCTGTTCAAGTATGTGATGGCCATCATGTTATCCGGCAGGATCTGAATCTCTTTCCCTTCTATAACTCCTGAAAGGCCAGAAGCGTTTTTAAAACTGCCGGTAATTCCCTGAAGTTTGATGACCTTTTTGCGGTTTCCAGGTCCCACTTACCCTGGGTCAGGCAGCCCTCCATGTGTGCACCCCACCCCCGCATGCTTGCGTCTGTAGTGATTTTTGTTGGGTCCCAACGTGTGAATGTTTCCCCACTACTCAGACTCCCACACTGCGCGTGCGGCAAATGCTGGAATCCAGAGATGCTTGGCTGCCGTCCCAGTGGGAGAGGACGCGATTCTGTATCGTTCTGGAGTGTAGTTGCGCCCATTGTACTCTCGGTATGGCTGCGGTCATGCGGCTGATTAGCTTCATGGCATTTCCGATTGTGCAAACTGGCATCCCCCGAGGCTCCTCGTATCTTGTTGAAGTCTGAGCAATTTTTCTGGTGTTCGGTATAAGTGCTTGTGGAATCCAGAATGTATCCAATATGAGATTCTGTTGGAAGGGACTGTGATTTCTCTGTATTTATTAGCCATCCTAGGTTTTCCAAGGATATTGTATGCTTGACATGGCATTTCACAGCTCTGTGTCTGCAAACAAGAGTAGTTTGTCCAAGTAGGTGATAACGTTTATCCCTTCTAGCCTCAAGGCTTGCAGAGGTTCCGCAAGAATTTTCGTAAATATCCTTGGTGCTGAAAACAGACCGAAGGGAAGTGCATTGAATTGGAACAAGATCGTTCTCTTCATGTCCATTAGCGAAAACCTTAGGAACTTCCTTGACTCTCCTCTTATCGGGATGTGAATATATGCATCCTTTAGGTCTATTGATTCAATGAATACTCCGGGAAGGATTTCTTTCGTTGGGTAGATCATCAAGAAATTTTTTGGGTTTTACGAATCCGATCACTTCCTTTAGGTTGAGTATCATTCTGTACTTCCATTTTTTTTTTTTACTTAAGTAGGAAAATGTCTGGGGAGTAGAATCCCCTTCCCTTTTCTTCTTCCTCCAACTGACTGACCACGTTCTGTTGGAACATTTCTTCCAGGAGGTTCACAAGTGTGTCCACCTTTACCACTCCCTTGGCAAAGGAGTCGCAAGGAAAGTGTGAGGGGGAATTTGTGAAAAATTCTATATGGTAGCCGTTTTGAATTGTGTCTAGGAAAAATGCATTCTGGGTAGTCTGTAGCCATTGCGTTTGAAAGTGTCCCAGCCTTCCTCCCACCTGGCTCTGCCAGTCACTTGGACTGAGTTTTGGTTTTGTCCTGGTTGGGGTTGAACAGAAAACCTCCCTTTTTGAGACCCAGCCTTCCTTCTGGCCCTGAAATCTGGCTGATCTCATTGCGTGCTGCCTGTTGGGATGAAAAAATTTCCATCCCGCTTGCCTGCTAGGAACTGGATATCCCTTCCTTTTTGTCGGCAGACTTCGAGGACCGAAGTCAGTTCTGGTCCGAAGAGGAGTTTTCCCTCAAAAGGGCAGGCCGCAGAGTCTGGATTTGGAAGCTATGTCCCCCTGCCAGGATTTCAACTAAATGGCTCTTTGGGCTGAGTTTAAGAACGCAATTGATCTTGCTGTGTATTTGATGGTTTCATTCAATGCGTCTGCAATAAAGGCCACTGCTTTTTCCAAGACCGGCAGTGATTTAAGAATTTCCTCTGCCAGCGTACCTTGTTCAAGGTGAGAGAGCGGAGCTGGCCTAGCCATACGTCTAGGGTTCCGGAAACGCAGGTTGTTGCTATTGCTGGTTTAAAGTTCACTGCGGACGCTTCCCATGCTCTTCTGAGGAACATGTCAGCCTTTCGGTCCATTGGTCCTTTAGGGAGCCCACGTCTTCGAAGGATAAATCTCTGGATTTCCAAATCTTTGAGAGGGGAGCATCCAGTTTTGGGCATGATTCCTACCTAGACACATCTTCCTCCTTCAATGGAAAACGCCTTTTAAGATTTTCAGGAAAAAAGGCTTTCCTTTCTGGCTCTTCCCATTCCCCTTTTATGGTAGACCATACGGTGGAATGGACTGGGAACTCGCGGCCGATTCTCTTTTGTAGCCCTGCATATAGCTGGTCGTGCAGAGAGAGTTCCTCTTCTAGGTCTAGAGGTGTCAGATTACTTTCAAGAGACCTTCTGCATCTTCTACTGGAAAAAGGAACCATTGTGACTTGTGATCCTGTTCCAACTCGGAGGAAGGCGAGATGGAATAAAATCCGGAAGGTTCCTCTTCTCGATCCACGACAGTGCCCAGGTTCTCTTTTCTTTTCTTGACCGGTGGGGAAATGCCTGAGGTGCCGGGTTAAGGCCCATCTGGGGTCATTTCTGGCATCTGTTCCCTAAAGTTTTGAAAGGTTTTGGACATCAAAGTCATATTTTGTAGGAAATCTCTGAAGAGGAACCCCCGACTTTTTTGATCAGCTTATCGATGCACTCCTGGCACAGCTGCTTTTTCCGGACGCTACCAAGTTTCTTTTTGCAGGTAGTGCACTGCCCCACAGAAAGCCTCCTTTTCCTTCCCATCGTCCTCCAGTGGGCCCATCTAGGACAGGGAGACACAACATATAGACCTCCTGAAAGCCAAGGGCTCCTAGGAGGAAACCCAACCAAGCATGCACCCACTGGCAGAAACTGTGATCCCCGTGGTGCTGGAGAGAGAGGGAAAGAGGATAGAAAGCTTCTTACCCCCTTGGGACGCGCACCCCCTCCCCAACGAGACAGCAGATAGGAGGAAGCATGAGGGGTACAGGGAAGGGGGTCATGCCAGTCGACAGGCTCCTACCTTGCTGCTAGCCTCCCACAGTGCTGACAGATCCACCTCCAATCTAGCCGCATTCCCACCCTTAGCATAGCTGTATTTGTAGGAAGGAGGGGCTTCCCCTCCCCACAATGGATGAGGTGGCCATGGCATGGGGTAAACTTTCGGACCACCACCCATAACCAAGATGGCGGCGGTCCACTTCCTATTCCTCGGGCAGCAAAAGTGACGCTCGCGGTCGTGACATCACCGACCCGCGCCTCCTCGCCGGAGAAAATCAGCGTGCAGAGGAGGAAGGTAGGCTTTGCCCCACAGGGTAGAGGTCCCTTTCCCAACAGGTCGGCGGAGCGGGCTTTATCCCCCCTGGTGAGCCCCGCAGGACCATAGATGAGAGGTGCTGTCTCCCCAAATCTCCTGTTTAGGGAACCTGAATGAGGCCACCCCGTAAGGCCCCTGCCTTGCTGAGAAGAGGGAGGGGTAGCCCCATCCAGGAGGCCTCTGCACCCTGCCAGACGGCCATAAAACAAAAAAAACCACATGGGAGTAGTTCCTGGTCCGAAGGAAACACCAATACCGAGGATCCCTGGGGAGAGGCCACTTATTAGGAAAAAGTGGATCAGGCGTTTCCTGGTGGGAGGAGCCTCTCTCTAATGTGAAGCTGTCCTGGAAGATGACTTGGGAAAAAAAAAGTCATTTTTGGAGAAATACTCACAAAGGGAAATCTAAAAAGGAAGCAGACCCTATCACTTTCTTCATTAGAACCCTGTAAGTGCTGCAGCTAACTGATAATTATAAAACCACTCCCATTCATTTTGCACAAGGACACAAACAGCTATTCCTTCAGAATAACAAAAAGGTAGGAAACAAACGTACATTGATCACCCAGATGGGAATGTTTTTTTCCCTCAATAAAAGGGAAGTTACTCTTTAACTAATATACCATTTAATAACCGATCAAAGACCGCTTCACTGGATTATGATAATCATAAAATCCAAGCCCTTAAAAGTTCCAAATGTGTAAATGCTGCAAATCAACTGCAGCCCTCTCTCTAAACCCTTACGATATCTGACATGAGACCATCACACACAAGCAAAACTCAACATTTCAGCATTTATTCTTCCTAGAACAAGAAAGGAGTGAAAAGTCCTAGGCTCTGCCACAATACATGATCTTAGAGTTACATAGTCAAAGACATGTACAATATTGCTGAACCAGACAATAAGGGCAGCCAAATCCAATGACCGTGTCTCAAACAAATACCTACATTTTACAATTATTTCAACAAATGTAAAATCATGTAGGGGGAAAAAAAAAGAAGGAAGAAGAGAAACACAGGTAAAAACACATTTATGAGACTGGCAATACCTGTTGTGGGCTAGCCAAATTAATTCTGCCAGTTGGGGTAAAGTAAACATGCCAACCAAATGTGATGTTTTTTTTTTTCTGGGTTCAAGAATTTTAAAAGAATTGTCTATTTAAAAGCAACTATTAAAATATAAAAATTAGCATGGAGAAATAGAATGGAAGAGACAAGCCCCAAAACAAGTGTGTATTGATGAATCCAGGTCATCTTAAACCAAATGCAGCTTTTTTGCATGTAGAAAATGCTTGGTGGGGGGAAAAAACAAAAAAAAAAAAAATCCCATTTTTCCCCACAGTCCTTTCTACCACTGTAGATAAAAGCGTCCAGAATTCTCCCATCAAAAATGGATGGAGTGTTCCCAGGACCCTCTCCCCCCTTCAGTTTCCATTGACTTGCTGTGGAGTGTTGTCTTGTGCACCTGTTGTGTTCCCTTTACTTCTGCTTTCACGTTCTTCATCTTCCTCATCTCTTTCATCATTGCCACTGTGATTCTTACAATATAGTCTGTTAAAAGGGGGGAGAAAAAAAAACCAAAAAACAAAAGAATATTAATGGGTGTGGGTAATGTTTTTATATATCAAAAAATTTCCTCCCCCTAAAACGGTATGTCATTGTTTATAAACAAGGTTTTCTTTTACACTGTTCAACGGTCAATTGGTATAGTTGAATTTATTTTTCAAGTGGTAATTAAACTCTAAGCATGCAAATCACTGTGATAGTGTTAGGAGGGCTGCATGAAAGACAGATGTGATAAGCAATGTGTTCTGAGAAACTGATGAAAGGGAAAGGGGCTGCAGGGAAAATGCAACGGACACAAACAGGCTCAACTCATTAAAGCAGAGCTGCACCCAAAAGGGGAAGCTCCGCTTTAATGCTTTGCCCCCCGCTCCCCATTAAGGATTGGCAGCTTTGGGGAGCAGGGGGCTAGGGCAGATACCCAAATTGGACAGGTACCCGCTCCTACTTCCACTGTGATCGCCTAGGCGATCAGAAGTTGTCCTCCCTCCCCGTAGTCTTCGGGGACAGGTCCCTGTAAAAAAAAAAAAAAAATATATATATATATATATATATATATATATATATATATATATATATATCCCATATATATATATATATATATATATATATATATATATATGATAGATAGAGATCCCAAGATCATGGCTGGCCCAATTCTGGTAAAACCGCTTACTGCCCAGTACACATATATACATACATACACTGGCCGGCAAGTGATTACAGCACTTTCTGCAGCTGGTTTAATCATCTATAGCAGCTTTTTTTTTTTTTTTTTTTTTAATCTTTTAATACATGCCTATTCTGGTTTAAAGATGAACTATAGCTTTCTCTCACCCACTATGAGCAGTAGTGGGATGAGGACTTCACATCCTGTTCTCAGAACAAAAGAGTTGGGCAGTGCTCAGTCATTTACAGGAAACTTTGTATTTTTAGAATATGTTACCTTTGATTGGCTAAGGTGGAGATCCCAGCAGTGACCAGGCTCTCACCAAGAGCTCAGGGTCAGGTACTAACAATTTGGACCCAGGACTCCCAGTTCCGTGTCACCCGATTGCTGTGATTGCCTCTGATTGGCTATCACAGTGACAAGTCATTCTGCAGCCAGCCCATGTGCTTCTGTCTCCTCTGAATGGAGAGAAAAATACACTGTATCTTTATCTCCGTGCAGGGGAGAAAAATATGAAGAAAACTGTGTGAAAAAAACAAAAAAACACAGTTGAAGGTTTGATCTACTGTATGTTAGTGCCAGTTTTAGTGTTCAGGTCAAGGTAAAGGTCAGGGTCAGAATATTTTGGGTAGAATTTTAGTTTTTTTAAATTGAAGTCAGTGCGTTTTAGGTGGGAGGAAAAAAAATGCACTATTGTTTCTGGGCCCTACTATAGGTACAAAACTAAAGAACACATGTGGTATCACTGCAATCGTCAGGAGCAAGAGTATATTTCGGGTTGCTCTTTGGTGGTAAATTATGTTAATAGCAATAAATATACAGCTAAATTTAACAAAAAAAAAATTTTGTGGCAGTCTTCCTTTAACAAAAGTAATCAGGTGATAACCGTTACCATTTACCAAAGAGAAAAAGTCCAATTTAGTCTGAAGGGATTAAGATCTAATCCACCTAGATATACAAAAACAGTTTTACTAACATATGTTACCCCTTGGCGCCAACACCTCCTGGCCCTTTAAGGGTTTTGTGATGCCGGGAGGCAGGGTTTAGGGTCATGTGATAATCGGAAAGCTTGGTTTATATTGGGTATGCAAATATACAGCCCCTCTGCGCCAAGGTCCAGCTGCTGATAAGCCACATATTTGCGTACACTTGGCGCCAAGGAGTTAAAGTTACAAAATTGCATTCAGGCATTAACATTTGTTTTACCCTCAGTCACAAAGGGGTTAAGCTGGTGCCATGACCGTTGCCCCAGGTTCCCCATTTCAGGGTCCCTCCTGTCTCTTGCAGTATCCTGCGGAGTCACTTTTACTAGCAGGACAACTAAAGTTTGTATGTCAGTCCTCACATATCCATCAGTTGTTGGCATGGAAAGTAGTGCTTGTTCTGAACCTAGGTAATCATACGTGCCCAGGGTACATCTTTTCTATGATCAGGCTCTATGTAGACATGAGGAATGAAATATGATCACATGGTCCAAAGTCCCACATTAGGTAGGATCCTATTACAAATTTCATCAGAAGGGTGGCAGAATACAGGCTTTTAACTATAACTGTAGGTCCACTTTTAGCACAATGAAAGATCATTAAAGTGCTTGAACAGTTTTCTGTACATAGCAGAGTACTGCACATGTTCCACAGATGTCAGTTTAGCCTTAATTCACTACTCTGTTATTTGCCAATTATTTTCAGCCATGTGATTGCTATTTTTAAGCTTCAGCTTAAGCTGAAAAAGTTTTACTGCAAACGTGTTAAAGTTTAACAAACTGAGCCTTTGTACACAAACAGTTTAGAGACCCTCTGTGACATAACTGTACCAATCTGTGCTCTTTAAGAGAATCTGTCACTTTGCCTTTAAAGAGGTCTTTTGAAATCTCACAGCCCCATCAAAATGATTTTCAAATACTGCTATGCTTGCCTGCCACTCAATTTGTCAGAAATCCTCAGTACTTTGGGTGTTGTTGAGGATTCATGTGACTATCCTCCTGTTCCTGCTAGTGAACAGTGTTATGACCTAAGTAGACAATCAGGAAGTCATTAACTCTGTAAGCGCAGACACTAACAGAGCATACACAGGGTTTAGGCTCATGGTTTCTCCGGCTGAATGGAGCTGCTAGTAAATAAGTGGGCGCGTCAAGTGAGATAAGAGAACCTGTCAACTGGTAAAGCCACAGATTCTCTTTATCTGAATATTTGAAGTGATATTTTTAATAGTTATATTACAGGGTCATCATATCTTACTTGTAAATGCCTCGTGACATGTTTTCAATGTATTTAGCCTTGTCTTCTACTCCACAATGATAATGATACGTCTTCACACAGGCCTTTATTTCACATCCAATGGTAGCGCCTAGCAGGCCACATAATGTACACTTCTGAATGGGAAGAGGGTGAAAAAAAGTGCTAAAATTACAAAACAGAGTCCACCTATTAGTACTTTAAATAAACCCCCCAAAAACTACAAATGTAACTTGTGATTACATTTCAGTGGGTACACTATTAAAAGTTAATTTGGAAATTAAAGGCTGCATTATAGATTTTGAATGAGGTTCAGCAACATGTTTATGCAAGCATTTTTATCTACACTATCCCATAATGAAGCACAGTATAAAAGGAGGTTTGTGGGAAGCCACTTTGTGTTCATTACACATTCTATTTGTATACTACATCTTTAGTTCAAAACTAGAATTTTAAAGCCTTACGAAAAATCTAACCTTAAACACTATTAAACTGGATACAGTTATGCTTGTATTGTTTTATAGGCCAAAATGTTGCACCCATCCTTGCTGTTAAAAAAAAAAAAAAAAAAAAAACACACACCACACCCAACTGTAAACAGTCTGAGTACTGAAGATGTGAGATTCTTGAATTTATAAAAACTATGTTGCCTGGAGATAAAAACAGAGCAACAGGAAAGTTTGAATACTTGAAGATAAAAATAAAAATTTCAAGACAGGCTTATATTGGTAACTTGTTTTCCAGTAGCCTCCCAGGACAGCACATGAGAGAACGCAGCTCCTCCTCTAACAGGAAACACACACCCAAATCAACTTTAAATTGGACGCCTCTCCCCACTGTCTTGTCTGACAGTACCTCTGGCCCATCTGAAAAACATAAGCACAACAGTATAAACAATATTAGGGCAGGCAATTAATGCTGTCCTGAAAGACTACCAGAAAACAAGTTAGTTATTGGTAAGCCCAACTTGAATTTTCTCAAAATGTCTCTCAGGACAGCACATAAGAGGATAAAATGAGAACTTACCCCCTTAAGACAGGATCACAGCTTGCAAGACCTTCCAACTGAAGGCCTGCTCCCCAGCTTACAATAAATCCAGTCTGTAATGGTGTACAAAAAAAAGGAGGACATGCTTGACCACGTCACCACCTTACAAAATTTTTTCCGGAGTGGCACTGGCCTTCTCTAACCAGAGCGCTCGTAGATGCCAGAACTCTTGTAAAATGCGAGCGTGAATCCCCAATGGTGGATCAAGGTCTTGTCTGCCCATTGAAGAAATTCCATAACAGAGGTAAAGTCTTCTAGGGACCTGTCACTGGAAAAACACCTTCCAAACTTTCCTGTAAATTGCTCGTAACATTTTAGCAGCTTGCAGAAGGGTAGCCACTAGGCGTTGTGAGAAATCCTCTCCAACAGTTGCTTCTCAGAAACCATGCTGTGAGGCAAAACCTTTCTTCTATCTTTGGATGACACAGCCATTCCTGTTGTAGCAGGTCTTTCCTGAGTGGAAGCGTTCAGTATGGTTTGACTGCTAGCCGGAGAATAGAAAACCATGGGGTATTTCAGCCAGAAGGAAGCTACGAAATGGCCACCACTCTTTCTGCTTGAATTCTCTTCAGGATCTGTGGAATTAGCTGGAAAGGGGGAAAAGCGTAATAGTGGGAAGCCGTACTTTTGGTTAAGGGCATCTTCTCACACCGATCCATCTTCTCTGTTCAAGGAGAAAAACACAGACAGATTTTGGCATTCTGGCAGTTCGCAAAAAACAGGTCTATCAGTGGCTGACCCCATTCACGAACTAAGCTGAGAAAGACCTCCCGATTTAGACATAATTCTCATTCCGTCACTTAATACCTGCTTAAGAAGTCAGCTACCAGGTTTAGTGAGCCCCTTGAGATTTATTGCTGACAAAGACACCAGACTGACTCCTGCCCAGGGCAGAATTTCCCCTGCCACCCTCCAAAGACTCCTGCTCTTCGTGCCTCCATGCCTGTTTATATAGGCTACTGATGTGGCATTGTCTGAAGACCTGCACGTGATGGCTGTGGAGCTTCTGGGAGAAAGTGAACAGCACTAGAACAACAGTTTTCAGCTCCCTCCAGTTTGAGGAATTTGTCACTTGTGGTTTTGATCACTGCCCCTGCATCAGATAACTTTCCAAGTACGCTCCCCAGCCCCAGGAGTTGGCATTTCGTGGTGAGAATCTTTCCTACCGGAAAAGACCAGACCTCTTGAAAGAGTTTCCAGTTTCTTCCACCACCAAATGGAGATTTTTACCCTGCCGGGAACCTTCACTTTAGTGTCCAGTGAGGTCAAATCCCCATCCCATACTTTCAGGATAAACTGCTGCAGGAGTCTGAAGTGTATCCTTGTCTACTGGAATGGAAGCAGTTAATAGGCAGACATCAGGAATCTGATAGACACCTGGCTATTGCACTGAAGCCAACTGCATTTTTTGGGATTTCTCTTCTGGCAAAAAAAATCTTCCGTTCTGTCGAGCAGATCAAAAACAACTTTCTTGGACGGGGTCAGATTGGACTTTTGCACATTTACGATCCAGCCCAAGCTCTCCAGATGATTGCTTTCCTACTAGGAATATGTGGGAATATGTGGGAATAAAAGCCCATCTGTTCTTCTCCCGAAGGGACCAGTATAAACATTCTCTGAAGTATCCGATCCTGAATCGGATTCTTCATAGCTAGAGATTTTACCAGATTTTTCAGAATATCATGACTAAACACCTTTTTGGAGGAGTTTCCGCAGACTCGCGTACCCTTTGCTGACAAGATCTCGGAGTCGGGCTGTGCAGGAGCATAGAAAAGGACTCACTTTTTCTCTGGCCTTCTGCGACCCCGCAAATCATCTTTTTTTCCCCTGTGGCTTGCAGCTTTGCTGCAGATGTCTGGAGAGAAAAAAATGTTTTGGCAGTGGTTTCTTTTTCACAGGGAAAGATTTTTTTATCCGTTGTGCGATCCAGAATTGACTCCAAGTCTGGCCCAAAAAGATCTCCATAAAATGGGATTCCATACAACCTTATGCAGGCCATAGATGGGTCAAAAATTGGCCGATTTTTCGGCTGAAAATAAAATCGGCCGATTTTCGGATCGTTAGTGGGCGATTTGGTCGGCCGTTTTTCGGTATTTTGGCCGTTTTTTTTTTTTCCGGTAAAGTTGGAAAAAAAAACGGCCGATTTTTTACCGATAAAAAAATCTGCGCATGAGCAGTGACCTGGAGGAAGAAGAAGAGGAAGAGGAAGAGGAAGAGGAAGAGGAAGAGGAAGAGGAAGAGGAAGAAGAAGAGGAAGAAGAAGAGGAAGAAGAAGAGGAAGAAGAAGAGGAAGAAGAAGAGGAAGAAGAAGAGGAAGAAGAAGAGGAAGAAGAAGAGGAAGAAGAAGAGGAAGAAGAAGAGGAAGAAGAAGAGGAAGAAGAAGAGGAAGAAGAAGAGGAAGAAGAAGAGGAAGAAGAAGAGGAAGAAGAAGAGGAGAGAGGAAGAGGGAAGAGAAGGAGGGGAGGAGGAGGAGGAGGAAGAGGAAGAGGAAGGATGAAAATAAGAAGAACTCCAGTCCAGCAAAAAGTGTCTCTGCAGAGAGCTCCGCTATTTCTGACAGTTCCTTGACATTTACAGAGGTTGAAACATTGTATCTATTTGTTTCCGAATAAAAACATCTGTATCCTAAATGGAAACAAATAGATACATTGTTGCAACTTCTATAAATGTCAAGGAACCGTCAAAGAAATAGCAGAGCTCTCTGCAGGGACACTTTTTGCCGGCTCTAGACGGGTAGAAAATCGGCCGATTTTTTTTTTACCATTGATGGTAACGTCGGCCACTTGAACAACAGATTTTTCGTTTTTTAAAAGAAAAATCTGCAGTTTTTCTCCCCATCTATGGCCTGCATTACTTTAGATGCTGAATTGCCTTGCCAGGCTTTCCTTTGCAGGATTAGATAGCAGTGCTGAAACACGTATAGATTCTGAGAATGCATCCGCTATAAATCCCACAGCTTCGGAAAAAGTGGGGAAAGAATCTAAGATTTCTTCCTTTCGGAGTCTGTGCATTAATGTGTGCCTTCAGCTGGTTCAACCAGTGTTCTAGATTCCTAACCATGCAGGTGATTGCTATAGCAGGTTTCCAAATTTTCCATGATGGATTGCCAGGTTCTTTTCAACAGCAAGTCCATTCATTTTATCCATCACCTCCTTCAAGCTTCCCATGTTCTCGAAATCTGTGAAAACTCTGAGTCCAGCTTAGGCATTTTGTGCCAAACTGCTAAGGGATCTTTCTCAAATGGGAACCTCTTTTTGTTGGATCTGGGAAGAGAAAAAAAAAAAAAAAAAAAAAACTGTTTCCTCTGAGGATCCTGCCACTCTCTCTAGCATATCTGAGACAGCTGAATGCATAGGGAAAAATCTATTCTTTGGTGCGCTAAGCCCCAGGTACATCTGATCATGCAGAGAGAGATCATTCTCTTCCTCTTTAATGCCTAAGGTGGCGCGGATTGCTTGGAGAAAGCAATCTACCTCTCTTAATCTATCAGACCATGGTAGGGAGCAAGCTACCTGACCAATTGTATCCCAGACCCACCACCACAGGAAGCTGGAGACTGTGGGGTGGCAGTAGGTTCCAAAAAACTCTGGGTGGACCCCAATTAATCTTTAAGACTGCAAAGTTGCACTCCATTCCGTCCCCCCTGCCACCAGGAGGAAATCCCACAGTGAAACACACTGAAAACATAAAATGACAGCAGCATCTAAATGCCCACAGGATGACCCCTCCTACCTGGGCTTTGCCGGAGTCTCCACCTGTCCCTGGAACTGAAGCTCCTGCCTACTCCATCTGCAGTGTGCAGCAGTTCACATGGCTGTGGGTTCCAATCCCGGCATCCTAAGATACCGCTGTGCCAGTCCGGACTGGAAATAGGCACTGGATGTAGTCCTACCCCCTTTCCCTGCATTCCCACTGCAGAACTGAAACCGCATGCCCATCTGGAGGCTCTGCCCCACCGATATATTACATCATGGGCATGCCTAGACGCTGCTGAACACCAAAAACATGGCCACCGCCATGCCGACAACAGGGTACTGCAGCCTGCCGGCAGTACTGGCTCTCCCAGAGCACTGAAGGTGGAGAGAGGAGCCAGGAACAGGCCACCCCACCTGGTATACTGCCTGGAGGACCCTGCTGCACAACAAAAAGGTTACATGGAGACCTCTCTCATGCAGCACCTGAGAGAACGCAGTCTGGCACGGTTCCTGTAAGTTCATACCTTACTGGAGGAAACACAACAACTGAGGACTGTGGGGAGAGGCCTCCAATTTAAAGTTGATACAGGTGTGGGTTTCCTACCAGAGGAGGAGGAGCTGCGTTCTCTCATGTGCAGTCCAGAAAGACGTTTAAAACTTGACCAATATACTTGTCCATTCCCTGATAGAATCTGAAAATATTTAGACTTTTATTTAGCTTTACTTTGCCCGAGGACTCTTGGAGCTAAAGTCAGAGGTGACAGTCGAACCATTGCTACCTAAAAACACAGATCACAAGGTCACATTCTACTTCATTACTGCCATGTGCAATCAGGAGAGGTTCTTAAAGCCAACACACTAGGATAATCTTAGAAAACATTTTTTTGCAATTTTAGATTATACATATTATAATTTTATATTATATAAAAACCACAATTTTATTGATACATCCATAAAAACGTGAATAAAATCAATGGCCTAACACTCATCTCGCAACAGAATGTCCACCATTTAGTGGTTACAATACATCTATGGTGGTGTCCATATGCAAAGAGATAGTTAGGCTCACGTATAATGCTTTAACCACTTGCCTACCAGGCACTTATACCCAGTTCCTGCCCAGGCCAATTTTCAGCTTTCAGCACTGTTGCACTTTGAGTGACAATTGCGCAGTCATGCAACACTGAACCCATATGAAATTTGTATCATTTTTTTCACATAAAAACAGAGCTTTCTTTTGGTGGTATGTACTTGCCACTGGGAGTTTCATTTTTTGCACTATAAACAAAACAAAAAAAAAAAAAAAAAAAAAAAAAAAAAGAGCAAAAATTTTGAAAGAAAAAAAAATTTGTTTCTCTTTATAAAATTTTGCAAACAGGTAATTTTTCTCCTTCACTGATGTGCGTTGATGAGGCTGCACTGATGAGCAACAATGAGGGGCACTTACTGACGGCACTGCTGGGCACACACAGACTGGTGGCACTGATCATCAGTGCCGATCCCTCCTCTGACAATTGCCGGTTATCGGCAGTACTTTCCTCACACTGTGACAGCGTGAGGAAAGTACTGCCGATAAACGGTAACTGCATTTACCAGTGATCTGCTGTGTCATTGGACACGGCTGATCATGTGGTAAAAGGCCGCTGTGATTGGCCTTTTACCACATCACGTGATCAGCTGTGTCCGTAGGACAAAGCAGTCACGGAGATCGCCGGGTGCTTGTGGGAGAACGGCATATGACGCCCTCCCAGAACTGGCAGGCCACAGTGAAGCCGTCATTCGGCTATCTGCGGTCAGCAAGTGGTTAATAGATGTATCAATAAAACTGGCTTTTACTATATACATTTTGTGCTGTCAATTTTAGTGTCTAAAAAGTCCTGTATATTGTTTGGGATGTCAGCACTTGCACAGTTTTCACATCTCCGTATATTAACTGTGTTCAGATGACCTCTCACCTCCCCACTACCAGGTTATTCTTACAGAGAAAGTTTACAATACTATTAAGCCTTTCGGTTGCTACCAACATATGGTATACGTCTGCAGCAGTGGGGGTTTTAACACACAACTGCTACAGCAGACAAGAGTGCATGTACACCTGACAAGCCCACTGTCAGCTGCCAGATGGGTAAGATCTAGCAGCTGTACAGCTACCAGATTGCTTCCACACACTCTTGGTAGTCTAATAGCCCCCAGTGTCTCCTTAAAAGATAACCTTTGCAAAATGCTATCACATAGGGTGTTTTTGGTCCACATACAACAAAATAAAGCGAAGGGAAGAAGGAAAAATAAAATTAAAGTTGCACTCAAGCACTTAAACTTATCCCCAAGTAAACATATGAGTCAGGGGCACACATCCACGTACAAAAAAAAAAAAAAGTAAATTACGCTGCACTATACATATTGTGGCATATGCCAGGAAAACAGTTTAATGCCGCGGTCACATCAGGTACAACTTGCCATGTGATTTGCATGCCGTTCAACTTGCAAACCGCATGCCAAGTCGCACCCTATTGTCCACAATTCAAACAGTCAAAATTGGTGCGGAGCCGCACCGATTTCTAAAGTAGTACATGTACTACTTTTGTAGCGATTTGCATAGACATCTGTGTCAGATGTCTTGCAAATTGCACTTGAAATCGTCATCTCACCCCTAGCAGAGGCTAGGAGTGCAGGATGAGTGCTGACATGACAACCTGGAGGAGGGGATCACTTTGGTAGGCAAGTCAGTCAAAGTGCTGTAAATACGATAAGGCTTTCAAATATAGGTACAGAAAATAATTACCATACGTTTTCCACGCTTCATTTCTTGTATTACAGTTTTGATATCAAAGTCACCAACTTCAGCCCTTGACGTCGTTGTTAGCTGGACTGTACCAGAAGAGAAAAGCTGCAGAAATAAAAATTTAGCATCATTTTGTTGTACATTAGAAACTAAATGGTGTTTTTTTTCTCTCCCTACTAGATACAGCATGTTAAGGCCTTACTGCAGGTGGGCTAAATCTCCCAGAAATGTATACAAGGGTGGTTTTCTCTATGCATTCATATTAGAAATGTACAAGGGAAATCTAACAGACTGGGATATGATCAAATCTGCAAGCTTCGGATGTGGCAAATCCCTTTTGCTAATATTGAAGGCCGGTTCACACCACAGAAACAGACCAGATGCACACACAAATGTGTTTTTGGTGCATTCTGGTGCACCCCCCTCCCCCTTTTCTTTCCTGGGCTTAGATTGCTAGAAGCCAGCACCTGCCAGCATCCCAACAACCAGTGACTCATCTGTGCTGTCAGCAGCAAGGATGAGTCATTTGTTGTTAACCACTTGCCCTCCAGAGGATTTACCCCCCTTCCTGCCCAGGCCATTTTTTTGCATTACGGCACTGCGTTAATTTAACTGACAGATGCGTGGTTATGCAACGCCTCACCCAGAAGAAATTTAAGTCCTTTATTTCCCCACGATTGAGCTTTCTTTCGGTGGTTTTTGATCGCCTGTGCGCTTTTTATTTTTTGTGCTATAGGCAAAAAAAACCTGACAATTTTAAGAAATTTTTTTTGACTTTGCTATTAAACATGTCCAGTAAAAAATTGGGAAAAAAAACCCTGACATGGCTATAGACACCAATACGGTGAACAGTGCTAAAAAAAACAAAAACAAAAAAACACTGACACTGTACTAATGACACTGGGTAGGAAGGGGTTAATGTGATGGGCGATCAAAAGGTTAACTGTGTGTAGGGAGTGTTTTACTAGGGGACGGGTGTTTGTGTGCTTCAATATAAGCACATTGATCAGGATGGCTGTGCTATGCAGTGTGCCTGAGCTGACAGGGAGGAAGACTGTTTGTAAACAAAACAGTCTTCCTCTCCGTCGGCGATTGTCGGTAATCACTGGGCGCCAGCGGGTAATCAACGGCCAGGATCTGGTAATTGACATCCGCGGTCACTGTGCCACCGTGTAGCAGTATATCAGCTATATCGCGGCAGGTAAGTGGTTAAACCTGCTTTAAACTTTGTTTTTAAAAAATTGCTGACAGAGGATATTTAAGACAGAAGAGACACTGTTGGTCTCTTCTGTAATGCGTCAACCTGCCAGTCAGCCATCACGTACACAAAGCTCAGTGAAAACTTACAGCCTCGATCTGTGCCACTGCGATATGACTCCCTTGCGCATGCACAGGAGTGACATAGCGGCCCAGCAGGGATTAAGTCACTGGTTGTTAGGACACTGGCAGGTGCAGCAGCTAATGGCCAACAGAAATCACAGGCAAACAAAACGCATTCCAGTGCGTTTTACTACATTCCAGGGCAGATCAATGCAGAAAAAAAATGCAGCATGTTCTACTTTTGTTGACTGCACTAAAACATACTACACTGGTGTGAACTAGGGCCACTAGAGTACATGGAAAATGCAGTGCATGAGGTTTTGATGCAGATTAAAAATGCACTGGACTGCATGTGGTGTGAACCAGCCCTTATTGTGGTTTTAACAAATTGCTCATTCTAAACTCAATGTCTTCCATACTAGTGCTATATTGCAATTATTTAGTTATATAGATGGAAGACATTTAGGGGGACCTTTCATAGTGGAAGTAAATGCAAAACCTAACTCACTCTAAACCAGCTCTCAGCCACATTCTAAGACTAATCTATCTAGGCCTGTAAAGAACAAAAATCACTAAACCCAACTGTTCTGTAGCCGCTCGGGTCCAGTCCCACGCCGACATGTCAGCAGCCACTTAAGTGTGTACGAGTGTGCAGGAGAGGCAGCTGACAACAGAAGCCCCATAGTAGCTTCATGGGTGATGTCACTTCCCATGCATTTCAAAGCTGCTTACTGTCTCCTGCATACAGAGGGCGCCGCAGGACATCGGGCCAAATGGTTTAGAGTTAGTTAGGTTTTGCCTTTACTTCCACTTTAACTTGCTCTGAGAAAGCGAGGTAGGCCTACTGAAACAAAAGTGAAGCAACAAATTATGTAACGGACCATTGACGCTTACACTGCGGTCAACACCTGGAGCTGCAGGGGAGAATAAAAAAAAAGGTGTGTATAAGCGAGTTGGGAGATTGGCTTTGTAGTATCTCTAGTCCTTTTGGGCCCCCTAAAAGCCTGGTCAAATGGCCTACAGGTAAGACAATAAAACTAATAAGCAATTTACAAAGCTGCACAGTTTTTTTTTTTTTATATCAACTGGGGTCCTTTGCCTGCATATGCTATATTCTGAAAAAGGTGAACTTTAAAGAGACCCTCACTTTGCTGTGTTAACACCCTAGTATTTCACAACCAGATTTTATACACAGTTCTTGATCCTGATGCCAACATTTAAACACATACCATACATTTGTAGTGAGCAGCGGCCTTTTTTGCATTAAACACATGCAGTTTGCCCCGCGTTTCATTCTCTTCATCTCCTGCATGACAGAAGCCACACTTCGGTCTAGTGTCACTTGGACTGCTTCTATGCGGTGATCTATCTCTCTGGAAAGCAAGAATCAACAATGCAAAAAAAACACAAAAAGGTTGAATCAATTTAAAAATACTTCTGGCTGTTTTAGGTGAAGTATTCTGAGTATTTAGAAAGTTGGCAGAGAGGTTTGTTCAGCTATGTGGGGGCTGCTGGCTGTATGCATTTTGCTGCAGAGTTTAAGTGCAATGGAAAAAAAAACAAACAAACAAAACAAAAAAAAAAAAAACAAAAACGAAAAAATTTTGTTCTAAATACTTAAAGTATAAATAAATAGGACTTTTGTACTCCGCATAAAATCATTTTCTCTTAGTTCATTGAAGGACAACTTCACTTCTTCACGGATGGGATTAATGCCGCCATCTTCAGGAGCACAATGCTAGGCACAACTTAAAGTGGCTCTAAAGGCATTTTTTTTCCTTTAAAAAGTGGTTCTAAAAAGGCAGTCCCCTTTGCCAACTGCCCACTTGTGCATGCTCGCTCCCGAGCTGCCTCTGTGTCTATGGGACACACAGAGCGTGGCTCAGTCCTCGCCCCACCAACTCCCTCCCTCCTCACTGAAAGTTCATAAAAATATTGTGAAATCCACTTATTCAACAAGATCCAGAACGTCAAACTCTGTGCTCCCCGAGTGCGCTCAAAAAAACGAAACAAAAAAAAAAAAAAAAAAAAAAACAAAAAAAACTTTCCGGATCTCAACGACGGCAATCTAGGAGGGTTTAAAACAATAAGAACACAAATTATAAAGCTCTTGGTGTTGAATAAGTGAATTTCAAAATTTTTATGAAGTTTTTCATTTTATATAGAAATACATATATGGACAATATTTAGGCGATTGCACAATATATGTGACTCACATTTTTGCTTCAGCCAAATTTTTTGCTTTGAAATATTGGTTTACTGCATGTGATTTATATATAGGGGGTAGGGCAACTTCTTAAAATCTGTGAAGAACGGTTTAAGCAGGAAAGACAAGGGACAAATACCCATACTGGAAATGTTGGCCCCACCGTGGTCAACCACTCCCACTGGGTGAAGGGGAGGAGCTGCCCCTCCATTGTTGCTGGCATGTGTGCTTCAGGAACGGTGCGAAAAGGGGTAGGGCAGAGCAGATGCCCACAGTCAAAATGGCAGCTGTGGGAACGCTACACTGCTTGCTCACAGTCGCAGCAAAAGGTGCATTTGTGTACCCAGTACAGCTCCCGGGCAGTACACCCTCAGTATGTCCATGCTATTCCAGTGGCACCAGGCACCCTTTGCTCCAGGACTAGCCCTGTCAGTAGAGGAAACCCGTCTACCCTGGCAAGTGAATACTGAAACTAGAAAGAAAGAGCTTGCAGCCTGCACTTCAGCTACAGCAGAAACTCTCAGCAAACTTGGGACTTGTAGTGCTCCATCAACCAGATACCTCGAGGGGGTAGGGGATAAACACCTCAGATCCCATGCTGATTTCAGTGACATTGGCTAAAAGGCAGAGCTCAATAGAAAGCCAGGTCTGACCATCGTACACATACACCCTACAAGCCACTCTGCAAAAGAGATATTGCAGCCAATCCCATTATTGTGGGAAACTTCATGCATTCGATAACAGTGCTGGGGAGAAAAAAAAAACCCACACAACAAAACTAGGTCCACTCTCCTGATCGGTGGACAGAAAACTGATCTGTGTTGCAGCTGTGTCCAATGAATGGAAGAAACAAATTTACAATTGCAGTTAAGTTTTCTGTTGCATTTACTCTGCTTTAGCGTCTCATGGTGATGCTTCACAAGTAAGCCATCTTAAAAGAACTGGGTAGGACTGAAACTTAAGCTAGCTGCCTGACAGTAGTAAAGAGCCGATGACACTATCATGGCTCTATCATGTGATCAGCTGCATCCAATCACAGCTGATCACACGTAAATAGGAAATGCCAGTTATCAGCTCTCCCTTCCTCATAATGACAGTGTGTGAGGAGAGCCGTTAAGCAGCATTTCTCAGAGGGGACATCTACACTGATAATCAGGGCACTGATCATCAGTGCCGCCTCGTCAGTGCCCTGATTGTCAGTGTCATATATGAGTGATGCCCATCAGCGCCCATCATTGCCACCCATCAATGATGTCCGTCAGTACTTAGTGCCACCCATCATATAAGGAGAAAAATTACTTATTTACAAAATGTTATAATAGAAACTAAGGTTTTCAGTCTTTAGTTTGTTTAGCAAAAAAAATTAAAAAAATAAAAATACAGTGGTTATTAAATACCACCAAAAGAAAGTGGTCTCAGAAAAATTAAAAAAAGGTTGTTTGGGTAGAGCGTTGCATGACTGTGCAATTGTCACAATCAAAAGTGCGACAGCAATGAAAGCTGAAAATTGGCCTGGGCAGGACGGTAGTAAAAGTGCCCGGTAGGAAAGTTGTTAAATAGCTACTTACACTGGAACTGCTTTCTGTCTCTTCTGTACAGTGTGAAGATGGGAGTTTGCTCTCCTCCGGCTGCCCTCTTGAATTTGTGGTTCTGGACTTTCCACGGGATCCTCTCCCTCTACCACACGGTGGCGAGAGGATGGACTCAATTCTCTGTGACCAAACCCTTCTTCTAACTCATCTTAGAGGGACAAAGGAAAAAAAAAAAAAAAAAACAAAAAAAAAAAAAAAACACAACACACCTTTTAGCAGGAAAAGTCAACCTTAAATTGCACCTTCAGTTTTCCAGTGTACTTCCTTTTATACTTTTAAAACCTTAGTAGAGAAGTACATTAGTATGTCTACTATTTCAATAGCTGGAAAGATGTTAGTTTACCTTTGTTAATAGGGACTGCTTCCCATTTCATGGCTAAAGTCTGCCAACCAACATTGCCCGTCCAGTACTTTTATGTTTGTTACTGGGACTTCATAAAAGGCAAGGCCAAGCATCTTGTGGGGTCACACTAAACATCATAAGTCCATGTGCACAACAGTCAAATCTTATCCAAATTAATTAGGTGAAAAATTAGTGCAGTTTTAATAATAAAGTGCAGAAGAGCAGATACTTGGTGCAGGAAACACAGGGCTGTGCTCCCCCTCCTGTGTTCCCCCACTCACCAATTGAGAATCCTGCTTTTAACTGGAGGAGTGGTGGAGGACTGAGGGAAAAAAAAAAAAAAAAAAAGCCCAAGTCCAGGATACTCCGATCAAACGCATCTTGACCCTTATTGCGGTGCTTAAGGGTCAACATGTTGGTGAGTGGAGGAACACAGGATGGGAACACAGCACTGTAATTCCTGCAATGCTGCAAGTGTCCAATTTTTCACCTAATTCAATTACGTAAGATTGTACTGTTGTGCACTTATGGACTTGTACGTTAGTGTGTCACGTTTATAAAGGGCAGAGCTGTTAACTTGTATCATTTGAAGGGTATTTAACCTTTGTAAAAGCAGCCACTCTAAGGATTTTTTACCCATTATCCTATACACTGCTCAAGAAAAATTAAAGGAACACTTTAATCAGAGTATAGTATCAAGTCAGTTAAACTCCTGGGATATTTATCTGGTCAGATAAGTAGCAGAGGGGGTTGGTAATCAGTTTCAGCTGTTTTAGTGTTAATGAAGTTAACAACAGGTGCACTAGATGGGCAACAATGAGACGACCCCAAAACAGGAATGGTTTTACAGGTAGAGGTCATTGACATTTTTTTCCCTACTCATCTTTTCTGACTGTTTTTCACTAGTTTTGCATTTGGCTAGGGTCAGTGTCACTACTGATAGCATGAGGCGATACCTGGACCCTACAGAGGTTGCACAGGCAGTCCAACTCCATCAATACGTGCCATTATCAGAAGGTTTGCTGCATCTCCCAGCACAGTCAAGAGGAGATTCCAGGAGACAGACAATTACTAAGAGAGCTGGACAGGGCTGTACCCCATCAGCTGGACCAGTATCTGCTCTTTTGTGCAAGGAGGAACAGGATGAGCACTTGCAGAGCCCTATAAAATTACCTCTAGCAGGCCACTGGTGTGAATGGGTCTGACCAAACAATCAGAAACAGACTTCATGAGGGTGGCCTAAGGGTCTGATGTCCTCTAGTGGGCCTTGTGCTCACTGCCCAGCACCATAGAGCTCAACTGGCATTTGCCATTGAGCAGAATTGGCAGGTCCGCCACTGGTGCCCTGTGCTTTTCACAAATGAGAGCAGGTTAACCCTGAGCACGTGACAGACGTGAAAGGGACTGGAGAAGCCGTGGAGAACATTATGCTGCCTGCAACATCGTTCAGCATGACCGTTTTGGTGGTGGGTCAGTGATGGTCTGGGGAGGCATATCAATGGAGGGACACACAGACCTCTACAGGCTAGGCAATGGCACCCTGACTGCCATTAGGTATCGGGATGAGATCCTTGGACCCATTGTCAGACCCTACGCTGGTGCAGTGGGTCCTGGGTTCCTCCTGGTGCATGACAATGCTCGGCCTCATGTGGCAAGAGTATGCAGGCAGTTCCTGGAGGATGAAGGAACTGATACCATTGAATGGCCCCCACACTTGCCTGACCTAAATCCAATAGAAGACCTCTGGGATATCATGATTCAGTCCATCCACCGCCACCAAGTTGTGTTTCAGACTGTCCAGGAGCTCAGCGATGCCCTGGTCCAGATCTGAAGGAAATACCCCAGGACACCATCTGTTGTCTCATTAGGAGCTTACCCTGACATTGTCAGGCATGCATACAAGCACGTGGAGGCCATACAAAACTACTGAGTACCATTTTGAGTTGCTGCAATGACATTTCAGCAAAATGGACTAGCCTGCTGCATAATTTTTTTCACTATGATTTTAGTCCTCTGAAGGTTGATAATTTCATTTTAACATATTACCCAGTCCATATCAGTATAGATATCCAACATGATATTTTTCCCCATTGAGATCTGATGTGTTTTCAAAGTGTTCCTTTAATTTTTTTTGGAGCAGTGTATATTCTAATATTTTCATTACATATATTTTTATTAATTCTTTAATACACTTATTACTCACTATAAAGTTACTAAACCGCGGGTACTGTATATAGAAAATAATCTTGTACTGTGTGCTCTTACTTCACAATGCTTAAAGTGGTTGTAAAGCCTGAAGGTTTTTTTTTTTTTTAATCTTTGTGTATTCTATGCAAGGTAAAAAAAAAAAAAAAAAAAAAAAAAAAAACACCTTCAGTATGCAGCCCTCTCTAATACTCACCTGATCAAGTAACGTGCATGAAAACAGCTGCTGTCCTGCCTCTCCACCTCCTCATTGGCTAAGAGACAGCAGCAGGAGCCATTGACTCCCACTGCTGTCAATCATAGCCAGTGAGGAGACAGAGCAGGACTCGGGAACAAGCACGCATGGGTGCCCCCACAGCAAGTGGCTTGCTATGGGCACCCTTAGAAGGGAAGGGGCGCACAGAACACTGGCAGGGGACCCGAGAATAGGAGGATCAGTGCTGCTCTGAGCAAAACGCTTGCAAAGAACAAGTATAACATGTTCGTTATTTTATAAAAAAACATTTAGCCTTTAATATCACTTTAAAAAAGGGAACACAGGTTACCTTCTATGGCAATCAGAGGACTCTACAGAAACATCAAGCCATAATATTTTAGACCTGGATATTTACCTTCTGAGTTATGCAGCTGTTCCTTGTGTTTTCTGCAATAAATCCTGCAATCAAAAAACTATAAATTAAATTATAGCAGAGTCTAAAAATTTACAAAAGTCAGTAATAACCAGGATTACAGCCACTTAAAACGGTAATAAACCCAAAGTGTAATATATTGCAGCTTACCAATCATTTAATGTGGTGGTTGTATTAGTTTTCTTTAAGAGGCCCTATGAACAGGGGACGTCTTTTTCCTCCACTGAATGCCTGCACTCCAGGAGAGGAAAAAGCGGCTAAAAAAAAAAAAAAAAAAAAAAAAAAAAAAAAAAGACACCTAAAGCCACATTTTGCAAACATGTTTAGGGAAGTCAAGCATGTGGACGTTTATCCATTCAATTTACCAGATTATTAATTCATTGCGGCCACTGGAACGAACGTGAAAGCGTGCGTGTCACATATGCCAACATTGAGCGTTTAAAGGGCAGGAAGGGATAATAAAATGCGCCTAAGAGCAGCATTTAAAACACCCTGTGTTCGTGAGCCCCTTTTCTAATGGTGATCTGGCCAGTAACACACCCAAGGCAGAGGGGCAGTATGTGCAATGCAGTGGGTATGACAATGGCAGCATGTGCAGGAAAGCAGTGTCGAAAGATTGACAGTGGGCAGCATGAGCAGGAGGGGAGGAAAGAGTATAACAGGAGATGGAATATGCAGAAGAAAAGTATGAGAATGGACTGTAGGTAAAGAAGAGGATTTCAAATTGTATTACAAGAGGCAATTTGTCCAGAAGGATGTGAATGGTACGCCAAGAGAGATTTAAGAGCAGGAGAAGAGTACAGAGGGTATTAAAGAGGGGAAATATGTGCAGCAAGAGATATGACAGTGAGTAGAATGTGAATGAGTAGTGGAAGCTATGACAAAAAGGGTAATATATGCAGGTGAGGATCGCAGAGGATATAAAAATTGGCCAAAATTAGTCCAGAGGATTGAAGGGACATCGTGTGCACCAGAGAATTGTGGAAGGTAGGAGAGCAAGCATTATGTGCAGGACAAGAGTGTGGAGGGTAAGACAACTGGACAAAACAGTTGGCTTTTGACTTACAAATCAGTAGTTACTGATCTTCCCATAATTAGAAACACAAATCACTGGAAAATATGATTAGTGCCACACAAAGGCATGACGGGAGTTAAGAAATAAGCCCCACAATGAATTAGGCTCCCATTTACAAACTTATAGAGTAATTATACAGCAGTAGCATTACAGCCAAGCTCTTACAAAAAAAACAGAGAGGATTTCACAAAAAAGAGGAATAGAAGCTATAAAAAAAAATAAAAAAAAAAAATAGATAAAAAACAGAAGGAGAAGGAGTGAATCAGTGGAATTAGGGGAGTTTAAAAATCAGGTCTAGAAGGAAGTGCTGAAGAAGTGGAAGATGGGACTGGACATTGGTGTATTTTTTTTTTTTTTAAAAAACAGAAAATGGCACAGCGACGCTGGAGAATATTATACTAAAGATAATAAAGATGATACTTTAACATTCAGGTCTTTAGCCTTTCAGTTGTAATGCCAGCTACAGAAGGATTGCACACTGGCAAAAAAAAAAAAAAAAAAAAATTAAAAAACACCCTATACGCCAGCCCAAGAGAACCCCTGCTACTACCTACATGCCTCAGGTTTTTAGCAAAGCAACACTGAGCATATGATCATAAACAGTGGGCTGGACCCTGTGTATCTCAACAGACTGAAAAATTAGGATTTTTGGCTTATTTGTAAAAATCACAGGACTGCATATCCATTACTACTTTGATTAGGTTGCCAGGTGAATTAACACACAAGAATCTCAGCATTTTATATGAACATTTGACAAAGTACTTATAGACCTCCTAGAATTTAATGGGCATGGATTTCAGGTCAGCATTCCAAGTGAAACCAGGTGGTTGGGATTTCATGTGTGAAGTTGGACGCACAAGAATACCATCCAGTCTTTATGGACACTTGATGAGTTGACTTGCATGACTGGACACTTTAGCACGGATTTTTTTTTTTAACCCCTTCAGGAAAATAAGCTCACTTCATACATTGGAACTGTGTCACAATTTAATTATTGCAGGAGTGTGGAATTCTACATTTGGTTATGTAGTTTGTTGTTTAAGCAATATCATTGAGATCGTGTTACTCACATTTTGTTCAAGCGCACTTGTGTTTATTTTAGTATATCACTGAAAGTTGTATTACTAATTTGTTATAGCGCTGCACGTTACACGTGTTATAGTCTACAAAAGTGTGAATGACAGTGTTAGCTGGCTGCTTATTAATGACCATAGTTGCACATACAGTTTATGGTACTGATTTTGACACACCCCTATCCCTCAAGACGTGGGCTTCAAAAGCCATGCTATCAAAGCCAGCAACTGTAAAGCAGGATGACAGACTGGACCCTGTGACAGCATCCTGTGACCAGAAAGAGCTCATAGCTTGTCTTCCAAAATATTTATGAGGTCTGCATGCTACACTCTTCTTGGCCAAGCAGTTGTGATCAGAATCGTTCTAAAGTCCTCCTACTTTAACCTGAGCAACAGGCGAGGAAGAAGCAGAAGGGGAGGGAAGGCAAGGATCAGGGAAAAACGATCCTAAGAAGTCACCAGGGTATTTATCAAAAATGCCTGAAGATCTCCAGTTGTTGACAACTCAGTCTGCTGTTGAATCGGGACACCAAAAGATACACATCTGGCATCCCTCACTGCAGACAAATCTATGAACACCTTTGAGTGAAGAACCCATTCCTCTGGATTCAGCTGCTGACAGTTGAAAAAGTATGCCTGGCGATTTTCTATACAAGGAATGTGCATGGCAGAGAGGGTCAGATTGTGAAGTTCTGCTCAAGACAAACAACTTGTTCCTGAGCAATGCAACTTGTCTCTCCTTGATGATTAATGGATGCTACAATCTTGGCACGGTCCTGCTGCAACCCAAAAAAGGGAGATAATGTAGGAGAGCCAGCCGAATTGCCCAAAGTTCCAGGACGCAGAATGGCAACTTCTGTTACTCTGAGAACCACGTTGCCTGAACCAAGAGCTCCTTCAGAACACCTCCCCAGCCCAATACACTGATAACAGAACCGGAGCCAAAAACTGAAGCTTAGCGGTGCTGGAGGAGTTCTGCCTGGGCAAGAATTCCTGCCCTTTTTTGGCATCCATTCAACTGAAAGAGGCAGCATTACCCAGGTAGTTATGAATATTAAGCACACTGTGTCCTGTGACATACGATTAAGAAAAACATTTTACTGCTAATGCAAAAATCAAAAATTTTTTTTTCTTTTTCGCTCATCCATTAAAGCCTAACCCCAGATTTTGTGATACGTTAAATTTCAGCCAAGCTGGGGGGCTGGTGTCAGTTGTAAATACCGGTCATGTTTCATGCTGCACCCTAAAAATAGGTGTGACATGAAACGTGGTCTGAAAGGTAGACTTAGCTTTCAACACCTCAACTGCGCACCAGGGGGTTAATGCTATAAGCTGCGGACAGATCACCCAGGAGTTCCGGTACACATGCTGTATATTAAAGCAGAACCTCACCCAAAAGGGAAATTTCCTCTTGTTTGCATCCCCCCACCCTTCTCTATAGCAGTTAACAATCCAGTGTATGGGGTGCCATTAGGATTAATGTGTTTTTGCTGCGGGTGTGGAAAAGTCTGCGATTTCTACGCATTCAGATGTGAAACTAGCCTAAAACTGACGCCCCTTTAAAAGTGTGTTGTTACAGAACACTGAAAAGATCTAGTGATTTATACTTTTTTTTTTTTAATTCTGATAATCAAAGCTCACTTTATACCTACAGGTATATTCCTTGTGATGGGTTTTCCTGTATCTGGGCTTTATCATGCAAACCGCAGTGATAATGGTAAGTCCTGCGGCATGTCTTTACTTCACAACCAATAGTTGCTCCAGGACAATGGCAGAGTGTACACATCTAAAAAAGAAAAGATAAGATGACCACCAAACATTTTGCAATTCAGTCTGAAAGCAACTTCTGTCTCATGTTGTTGTAGGGAAGAAAGAAAAACAAAAAATAGAAAAGGAAAAAAACACCACATTTAAAAGTACTTGAAGCGCCCCATATATTTGAAGTCTGACAGTTAAGCCTGGTACACACGATGAGTTACGAAAATTCTCGTAAGACAAAATACAACTTCCCGCAATGGTGTCATGTATTGTATTCTTTCGTTTCTGAGTATGATCAGAATACTGATTAAACTAATATTGTTCTTCTATTACCGTTCAAGAAAAATTGTTGTGCTTGTCCCTTCGGATAATTTTTTATGAACTATCGTGAATGGCTTTCGAAAGCTGTGTACCAACGTACAGATTATCGGACGATCGCTTTGAAAGTGGTATTTTTCATCTGATATCCTCATTGTGTGTACAAGGCTTTACACGGTGTTAATTCCTCCAGAAACATTATACGATCTAATCACTAAGCCAAGATATAATAGCTGGAGCTAATGGGGATTCCCAATGCAAAGACACATTGTTCTTTGCTGAGTTTTATTAAAATGAGGAATTAAGTCTTTGTATGAAACACTGAAGGCATGAAATAAATAGACCCAGGGGTCCAGGGAAATAGCAGCAATGGAAATTGTCAATATTACATTTGTTGCTTTAGAGCAATTTGTATAAATAACCGGGCAGAACCATCACACGTGAAGTGGTTCCCTCTGTATCACATCCTCTCCAACAATGAGTAGGCTATGGAGATAGAGGCCATTCATGACAGGGAACGGGTGTAAACAGTGCAAAATAATTATGACCGATTTTTTTTTGCCATTTGTGCAGTCACATTCCGTTAGAAAATGGTCACCTAAGAAGTCTTCATTGAATGTTTTTTTTTTTTTTTTTTTTTTTTTTAACTCATCTCCTGTTCTACATTTCTCATCACCATCTATACAGGAGTCAGTGATGACCATGACAGATAGTGAGAGTGAATCTCCCTAGAAGGGACACAAACAGCAATAAAAACCATGATAGAAGTTATTAAACCTTCACATTTGATGCAAAACTAACAGAAAAAAGGCTGGCTTTATTTACACTTGAATGTGCACTAAAGCATTCATTTTTAAACCTATTTTAATGCAAATTACACATTTGGTTCCAGTTTTAAACTGTAGCTTTGCAAAAACACAAAACTGAATGTTTTCCAGGTCCTGGAAGGTGCAGTAAAAGCAAAACCATCTTTTAGCACTGCAAGTTAGGAAACAGAGCCGCTGCATGCCATAAGCAAGTATTGATGGCTACCCCATGAATATATACATTTACAAACCAGTGTTTTTGACATGCATTGATAACATTTATAGCCCGATTCGTTTTTTATAAAAAATACTCTATGGATAAAGCAGTTTTACCTTTCTATAAATAAACATTTCAGAACAAAATGGTTTGCTGGCTGTATTTCACTTAGAAGTAGATTAAAAAAAGTGTTGCATTCCCAATTTTATTTTGAGGTACAATAGGTCACAAATGTTCCCATAGACAGTATCCAATCACATTTGACATTTACCAGTTTTTTGCCCCTTCTTAATTCCTTCTGGATATCATCTATGGAGAACCCACCAAGGTTTTCACTGACAGACTGAGTAGATACAAGTGCTGATGAAAACAGCTGAGGAAGGGAAAAAAAAATAAAAAATTGGTATGAATTAGAGTGACTTCTCTGTATGAAACAATAAAACAAAATTGAACAGATGTGTCTACACATACTTACTATTGAAAAACGCAATTTCAAAATATAATCTAACTCCCAAACAAAAACTTAGGATGAGATATTTGGTCAAACATACATTTCAGGTAATTGTAAATGCTCAAGTTTTTTTCACCTTCATGCATTCTAAAACCTTCTGTGGTAAGCAGCACCCCAGCATCCCTAAAATTTACCTGAGCCCCATCCCAATCCAGCGATGTGCACGGAAGCCTTGGCTCTCCTGGGTCTCTCCCTTTTCATTTGTAAAGAACAGCAGCAGCTATTGGCTCCCGCTTCTTTCAATCACAGCCAGTGAGCCAATGAGGAGAGAGTGGGAGTGGGGGTCAAGCAACACTCCATGTGTAAATAGACAGAGCAGTGGCTCAGAAGCGAGCCAATGCTATTCCGAATATAGGGCTACTATTGTAATCAGAGTGCCATAAAACCAGCACAAATGGAATGAAAGGATCACGATAATTGAGAGAACCTTTCGAAAGAAACTGAGCTTAGGCCTGAATTTTCATTCCGAAGTACAAGCATGTTCATGAAAGATCTCAAATTTGTCTGTTAATGTCTGTTCCCTTTGGGCAAACTCTTTTCCATCCCTGTCCATATGATAGTGCCAAAACAGGAAGCAAGGAAAGCTTTCAACAGTGATGACAACAGCAATCAATATAAAATTAGCAGAGTGGGTAAAGTTGGGAATCTTTTAGGTTTTGACTGTGTCTTCATTTGAAATATTTCCTCTTATAGGTGGCGCGTCAGAACAGAAGGGTAAACCTCTCAGGAGGCATAACGACATCTCTCTAACCAAACCAAAAAAAAAATATAGGTTTTGGTTGGCATTAGGCTGTCATGTACTTTTAACATCAAAGTATCAAAAATACTATCAGATTCACACAGTCAAGAACTGAGGAATGGTTTGCGGCAACTGTCAGGGCACATATGGTGTGAACAAGACATAAGACTTCAGCTTGATAGTCATGGATGAAAGGTTACATTTTTTATTTTTAAAGTGTTTAAAGTATGTAGAACCAAAAATGTTTTTCTAGTTTTGGATAGTGGAGGAGGATTAGAACCGCTACTAATTTTTTGCCACTTTCCAGCAGTCTGCATTCGAGTTCTTTACCCTCAATTCCTGTCTTGCTGACAAGGATTCAATTAGACAAGCGAGGTAGAATTTGCAACAGTGTTGTATAAAGAAAGAAAAAAAAAAAAAAAAAAAAGAAAAACTGACACAGGTTCTAGCATTCCCACTAAAGAAATACATTTTTCTGTTTTAACAGAGCTCCCTTCACTTGCTGTCTGGTATAGTGTTGTCTGCAGGGCAGAAAGCAAAGTTAAGGTGTTACTATACCCACAACAGTAAAATCAGCCTGTATATGCAGTAAAGCATGCTTCTTATAAAGGGTCCAAAGGGTCAGGGGTTATGTAATCGCATAGGGAAGAGAAAGGAGAATGAAAACTCCTCCTACACTAACAGTAGTCACAAGATTTCTCTAACTGCATATGTGAAAAGATATTTAGCAGTTTATATTTACTAAAATAATTTCATTTCCATGTTTTGTGTACTGTGGTAGACCAGATATAGTGAATGCAGGGTCCTGGGTTTAGTAACACTAATGGATTCCTGAATAGGAGTAAAAAAAAAAAAAAAAAAAAAAAAAAAAAACTAAAAAAAAAAAAAAAGGGTTGTAATCCTTTCCCAATCTTTCCAGCTGGAAAAAACAAAACAAAACAAAACAAAAAAAAAACACCAACAACACACGTTTTGGTGTGTTGTTGGTGTAACATACACCAACTTCTACTATGTTCCAGTTTCAGACTGCCCAACAGCAACAGACAACAGAGCCCCTTTGAGTTACGTAAACATAGTATTTGATGCTATAATGCACTCAGAAGCTAGGATACAATCTGCAAGGTTAGGCAGTTGCAAAGAAGGCAAGAGTCAAGACTTCAGATGACCTTGCATTCCCTGACAAGTTGAAGAAACAAAAACTAATTAAGGTGTTAGATCTACAGTAGATTTTCATAAGCACACCCTAATCACTTTGAATTAAACATTGACATTCTTGCAAAAACTCAATAAAAACACACTGATCCATGCAAGGTTTCATTGACATAAGAGCACAACCTGTGTCTCTCCAGCCATCCTTATTTTGACAGTCTGACTGCATAGAACACATGCCCTTCCCTGGACTCAAACACAACCCTCTGTACTGAAAAAAGGACTCCATGTGCCTATATGAATGAGGCCTACAACAGTACAACAACTCTTATAATTAAAAAATATATATAATAATGACCTAAAAAGGTGTACTTGTGCTACAAACATTTACCTGGAAGGAACCATAGGGGACCACATACATCTTTATTAGAGTGCAACTATGCGCAAGATAATAAGAACATTTATACTGCAGTCATATACCAGCGCCCCCCCCCGTAAACTTGTGTTATTAACCATTTATCCTGCCAGTTACACCTAAACCATCTACAGAAACTCAGAAGCTCTAAATGTAGTGTGATGCTGATGTGAAAGACTTCATCTGCAAAGTAAATGCTTGGCTCCAGCCGCAATTAATCTCAACACAGAGGTATGGTAGGTAGCTCCAAAGCATCCTCTCTCAACCAAGGTAACATGGCTTCCTGAGGTTTCTTCAGGGGTGCCTTGGCAAAATGTCTCAAAAATTACCCAAAACGTGTATACAAGCCAGTGGGTGGAACGGCCCTACCTTTTAGTTACACACAGCCACAGGTTTTCATTGTGCTTCATTACGACCTTCTAGCTGCCGAAATCCTGACCACCAATATCATCAGTTGATAAGGAGGTTGGCAGCTGCCTGCACAGCATCCTATTTTGACCCTCCCCTGCCCCTCTCCATCAGTGCTGGGGTCACATTAGCTCAGTGATGGAGAAAAACGGAGGGAGAAGAGAAACACCGGAATACTAGTCAGTACCAGTGTGCAAGTGTATTTACTTTGGAAGAATAAATCACCCCTAATGTTGGGTGTCCTACATGTGTGGATGTTGCTGCATTATATAAACCTATTAGAATAGTTTCTCACATTTTAGAATGGGGTACCTCAGGACTGTCCATAATTTTAAAGGGTGCCTCAGGACTGTCCATAATTTTAAAGGGTGCCTTTACTGAAAAAAGGTTGAGAAACACTGCTCTAGAGACGAATGATATCCACAAGCAACGTCAATTACCAGCATTTGTATCCTGGTGCCAGCTTACTAGATCATTGCTCAGTATAGATTCACCTATAGTTTACTACACATGAACATTTCAAGGTACTTAAGTGGACAATATGGTAGCTGGAAATGTATCAAGTTTGGCCATATGTGCTTCTAAGAGCCAGCCAAATGACCAAGCTAAATATCTAAATCATGAAGACCAGTGTATCCTCAGGTTTCATACAGTGGCAGATGAAGTTTTCATATTAATGATTCTTCCTTTCAGCATCTAGTCACAAGTGGGCCAACTACAGTTAAAATAAAATAGAACATTGTCTTTATTTGCTAAAATACACCATATAGCAACACCTTTACCTGAAAGAGTAGATACTAACCAAGCATCTGTGATGAGCTGCCACCTTCTGGTTGCTGGAAACCAGCAACTGTCCACACTCTTTCTCCCTGTTGGACCTGCAGAAACCACATTTTCGCTGCCGTAAAGATCCTTTCTTCTGTGCAGCAGAGGCAGACATGATTTGCTGCTTGCCAACTTTGTTTCAGACTGTAGAAAAAAAAAAAAAAAAAAAAAAAAAGGAACAATTTTTAAAAACACTGCTTTTTTCAAGAGGAAATTAGGTATTCGCATAAAGGAAAGATCAACATCTATGGAGCTGTTATTTCAATACACATTCTCAGTTAGGAGACAGTGTAGGAGGTTGAAATAGATGCAAATGTCAGACTTCAGCGGGATTCTGACCCTCAGAATCAGACTAAAAAAAAGTAAAAGTTAAATGGACAAGAAGCCCAGTTGTAACTGACTTTAAAAGAGGAACTGAACGCCTGAAGCTGTGCCCAAAAAGGGCAGGCACAGGGCAAGAGAGTTGTCACCAGTATCGTCTGTGATCTTCATGCAGTTGACTTTTAGCAATTACTGACTTGCATCATGGCGCCTGGGTTCACACACTGCCTCCCATAGACTGCAGTGCAAAACTCCCTCCACTTACTTCAGTTAATAGCAATCTTATATGAACACTTACACTATATTGCCAAAAGTATTGGGACACCCCTCCAAATCATTGGATTCAAGTGTTCCAATCACCTCCATGGCCACAGGTGTATAAAATCAAGCACCTAGGCATGCACACGGCTTCTACAAATGTTTGTGAAAGAATGGGTCGCTCTCAGAAGCTCAGTGAATTCAAGTGTGGTACCATGATAGGTTGCCACCTGTGCAATAAGTCCATCCATGAAATTTCCCTGCTAAATATTCCACGGTCAACTGTTAAGAGTTATAACAAATTGGATGTTACAGCAACTCAGCCACAAAGAGGTAGGCCACGTAAAATGACAGAGTGGGGTCAGCACATGCTGAAGAGCACACAGTGCGCAGAAGTCGCCAACTGTCTGCAGAGTCAAAGACCTCCAAACATGTGACCTTCAGATTAGCACAACAGTGCAGAGAGCTTCATGGAATAGGTTTTCATGGCCAAGCAGCTGCATCCAAGCCTTACATCACCAAGTGCAATGCAAAGTGTCAGATGCAGTGGTGTAAAGCAAGCTGCCACTGGACTCTAGAGCAGTGGAGACTTGTTCTCTGGAGTGACCAATCACGCTTCTCTGTCTGGCAATCCGATGGATGCGTTTAATGGTTGCCAGGAGAACTGTACTTGCCTGACTTCATTGTGCTAAGTGTAAAGTTTGGTGGAGGGGGAAATTATGGCGTGGGTTGTTTTTCAGGGGTTGGGCTTGACCCCTTAGTTACAGTGAAAGGAACTCTTAAAGCGTCGACATACCAAGCCATATTGGACAATTTCATGCTCCCAACTTTGTGGTAACAGTTTGAGGATGGCCCCTTCCTCTTTCAACATGACTGCGCACCAGTGCACAAAGCAAGGTCCATAAAGACATGGATGAGTGAGTTTGGGATGGAGGAACTTGACTGGCCTACACAGAGTCCTGACCTCAACCAGATAGAACATATTTGGGATGAATTATAGCAGAGACTGCGAGCCAGGCCTTCTCGTCCGACATCAGTGCCTGACCTCACAAATGTGTTTCTGGAAGAATGGTCAAACATTTTCATAGACACTCCTAAACCTTGTGGACAGCCTTCCCAGAAGAGTTGAACCTAGTATAGCTGCAATGGGTGGGCCAACTCAGTATTGAACCTACGGATTAGGACTGGGATGCCATTAAAAGTTAATGTGCGTGTAAAAGCAGGCATCCCAATACTTTTGGCAATATAGTGCATCTACGCATGCTACCCTACTCTATCACTTGCGAGTCTGGAATGCACTGCTACAAACTTGCACAGGACCCTTTTTGTAATGGTACTCAAACATGCAATGCATGTGGATTGCATTTGAGTGAGCCACCTCAATAGGAACACAATATCTAGCCTGTCATATGAATCTGAGTTTGAAAACACATCTAGAATCACATATATGTGAACCAGGGTGGCTCCATTCACACCCGAGTGTTTTGGGATCAGGGCAGCATCACTGATCACAAAACACAGGTTCAGGTGCCAGTTACTTTCAATAGCACCTAAAACGTGGTGCGGTTTTGCTGCGATTGTCGCAGGGCAAATTGCATTATGTGAAGCTTGTCGCCAAAACATTGCTTTGTCCCGGGCACTGACATCCCATGCTTCACAAAACAAAAGAAAAAAAAAAAAAAATGGCTCCTAATTTTTCTTAGCTGGCTCCTAGATTCAAAGCAAATTTGTCAAGCCCTGAGCTATAAAGCTGCAGGCACAGGATTATCTAGACTCCCTCAGAAAACAAGCAAGCACAATCCTATTTTTCAGGAGGAACGCCAGACAAACATTAACATTTTCAAATGCTTCCTATAACACAAATCTTCATCTTTCAAATTCAGGTCCGCTTCAAATGCCTACTAATTTACACTCTGTCAACACCACCCACACTCCTAAAATATCTACAGTAAGAATCCCCCATTCGCACTAAGTCATTAGGGTTTTTTTTTTTTTCTTAGTGTGACATGCCATACAGATTTTTCTTTGGATTGCGCATTTTGGCCCCATAGACTTATTAGGTAAGTTTCAGGAGCTGAACTGCAGGCACCCGAATGCTCAAAAGAGAAGTCTATGCGAAAGCAAAGCCAACTAGAAGCAAGTCAAACTCTGCTCATTAGAAGATCAGCTGCAGGTCCAATATGTTTTTCAATGAATTCTGAATAACCTTAAGCGTGTCAAACTGTCAAAGCAGCAACACAGACAGGTCCTTAAAGTATTACACAAGCCAGGCTGTGTGTGTCCAGAGCCACCCACCTCACAGGATTTGACTCCAGCTGATACCCGAATCTCCTGAGAAACCAGGAAGTGAAAGGAGAAGACCTGCAGCTGTACAGCGCTGCATCAATCAGAAGAGACAGGTAAAATGTGTTTTTGGGGGTAGAAAAGGTAGACAAACGTTTTTTTTTTCCTTGTGCGGGCAATGCAAAAAAAAAAAAAAAAAAAAACGACTTTAGAACCACTGGTCAAGTGTGCCCCATCTATGGCACATATACACCTATGTAATTTCTTGCTGCTCAGTAGTGGTCAGTGTGCCCCCCCTTTCATTGGTGGTCAGTGAGAGCAGTGTTACTCAAAGGATTGCAGAAGTACTCAAAGAGAAAGGAAGATGATTCTGGAGGATTAGAGACAGAGAAGGAAGTGGCAGGCACTCTAATGCAAACTATGGTACGGTTTACATTTGTGATTGTCGTGATGGACATATCCTAGTGACCATTTTATGCTCCCTTGTGCAGATTTTTCTGTTTAAAAATGTGGGCAGCATTTAGGCTTTAAAGTTAAGACAAAGAATATATTATATATATATATATATATATATATATAAAAAAAAAAAAAAAAAAAAAGTATCTCTCCAGTACGTGCACCACTTCTGTATGTTTCATCCTTTTAAACATGCTGCAAGTACAGGAAAACAATGAGATAATGTGTCAAATACAGTGTATATTCTACTTTCCTCCTTAACATAACAGTAATTTTGCATCTGAATTTCAAAACATGTGGTGACAGCCCTGCCTACTTCTGATGGATTACAAGAACGCAGACCTCTCTTCCTCTCATCTACCCCTCCTCACCTCCATAAACCCTCCTTGTTCATAGGACATCAGCCCATGACAGGTATTTTTGTACTGGAAATGATATAACAAAACACTTCCAATTGTATATTTAGCAGACTAAAAGGGAGCAAATAAGAGACGTTCACTGTTGGGGTTTAAATACACTTTAAAGACCTACTTCACTTTCCCTGACCACCTCTTATTTTTGCTGGGTTATCCACAAAAAAAAAAAAAAAAAAAAAAAATACTCACACTCCCAGATAATCCAGCGGTGTTCTGTAGTGATCTGGCAATCTGCTACTGCACACTGGCTCCTGCGCTGCACCATAATGTCAGTGGCAGCTTGCTCTCTCTTCTAGGTTTTGGCAGCTAGCCCCTGATGATGCACCATGGTGCACGTTCTGTAGGGTACCTGAGGCCGCCTGGGATGTATGAATTTAGTATCCCAAGTGGTTGCAGGCAACTGAATATGTCATCTCACCTAGGCAAGAATACAGGAAATGGAGGAAAAGAAAAACTGGGATCAGCAAAAAAAAAAAAAAAAAAAAAAAAAAAAAAAAAAACACCCCACACAAGCTACCCATTAGTATACCTCCCCCCTATACAAAACAATACAATTCTGGAAACTCTTACCATTTAGGAGAAACGTCTAAATTAATTTTCATGACCTCTTCACTAGAATTCAAAAGATAACATCTGCTCTGCCAAGGAGCAGGTGTAACAAAAAGGGGTTACATCATGTCCTCTCTCCTCACTCTGCATTAAAAGGAAACTACCGTTCCCATCAACGACAAGGAATTGTAGTGAATGTGGGTGGGTACACTAGGCCTGTAAATGTTGAATGTGTCTGAGAGTCTCAGTCCGCCCACCTTTGCAAGTGGGGCTGATATAAATTGCTGCTTCCTGGAGAAAGAACTACAGAAGTGATGTGCCAAGACCAGTGGCTGGGGGAATAGGAGGCACAACAGTCTCCCTTCTTACAAACAGGAAACCAAAGAGAAATAATGGTTTGAATTGAATATAAACAGGCTATTTCAGAGCAACTACTGAGTGAACCTTAAGATGGTAGACCTATTCAGTGAAGGTAGGAAATCAGCAACAAGGACATGGAAAAAAAAATGTTTTTGCCCAGAGTTTTGTTTTTTAAACAAAAAAAAAAACCAAAGTCTGAATGTTAAATAAGAAAAGGGCAGGAGTGATCGGACAGAAAGTGAGCGCGGAGGGTGCAGGTTTCACTTGGTTACTGGAGCCTGATATCAAGGCTAGGCTCTGCTGGCTTCCATGCCTCATCCAATGACACTTCCAACAAGAACTCTCGTCACACCAGGGAATGGATATTTGTGGGACTTAAAGAGAAACTAAATGTATAAAGTTAGAAGCTGTCAACAGGCAGGCTTTTCATCGCAGGAGAAACATGCAATGTCTCTTCTGCCATAAAGTACAC